ACATCAGCCTCATTGGAAAGATTAGAAGAAGAGGCCAAAACAGATGTGGATTCTTACCAATTCGCTCAATCCGTGTGATGTCACGGACCTCTGGAACTTTTGTAGCCGCCATCTGCGCCAGCTGGACCAGCAGAAAAATCTGAAATCTAGACCACAAGTGGAAACAGTCGCATTTAGACCTTTGGAGTTTGAATGAGCTATAAATCTTATATAAATTCATTTAACTTTCATCAAGCAGACATAGTTTGTAATTTCATAAAAATATCAGACATAAAAGAATAAGTCCATTCATGGGAAGAAGGTTGGATTTAATGTGATAGTTATCTTTGTGGAACTGATTCTTACCTGGAAGCTACCATTATAGTTACAATCACAACCATCAGCATGAACTCACAAAAGCTTCATACATAAAGGATAACAAATTAATAAGCTAGTTAGGAATGAATAAGAGAGGCTTAAAGAGGTTGTCATAGTGATGACTGTAACAATGCAGACAGGAAGCCTCTTTTTAATTTGTCAAAGAACAAGATTAACAGAGACATGGTGTCCCATCTGTTGATCCCTGGAAATTACTTAACATTTCATTATAAGCCAATACTGTAATAACAACACAGAATTTTAGCTAAAATTTAGCCAACTGATTAAATAAAATTTTATACAGAATTTAAATCAATTCAAGCTAAAACTAAACTACCTGAGAGGTTCTTAATAGATTATTATTCACAGACAAAAGGTGTTTTTTTTTCTCCTAAATTAAAATTTTATTTTAAAAATACTATAACTACTCTAAGTGGGTTAGTGTATCAGCTAGATACATGGTTAAAGTCTGTGATCTCCAATTAATTAGTGGACAAATATTGCAATAATCGATTAATCACTAATTATCCGATTAGATGTTCCAGCCCTACAGAGGTTCCATTTAATTCCATTAACAGAGAAAATGAAAGAGGGTAAAAAACTGAGAAAGAAAGATTGCTGGGAGCTTTCAGTTTAATATAAAAGTATTGTATCATCATTAAACATAGAATAATCTTGTTGGCTATTTAGGAATCTGTGTGAAAGATCTGTTGGGATCAACTGGTTGTCATAGTGACAGCTGCGACTCATGCCACAACACAACGATTCAGGCAGGCAGCATGTTAAAAAACAGTTAATGTCGCCAGAAAGTTGTTAAATATTAACAGCAAAGCGATGTGTTCATTTCGTTAATGCATATTTACGACAGGAATGATTGCAAATGTTGCTAACGGTAGCTAATGTTGTGCTAGCATTTAGCTTCCTTCATTCATAGCTTTCCCTTAAATCTGTAGCAACACAGCTTGTTGAATGAGGACCCCACCAAGACCCACGTTAATTAAAAAAAAAACTTCACTTTAGCAAACACTCAACCACACCCGCTTGTAACACAGTAAAATTATACGAAAAACACTTCACATGTTTACAATACAGCGTGTGCGCTTACCTTAACGTGAGAATGCGGCGGCGGCGCTTCTTCAGAAGATGCAACACCCCAATGTGTCCGGACGGAAACAATTCTCTCTCTTTTTTGTGTTCCTATGCGTTCTCTGTTCGCCTCTGCAGATGCGGTGAGAAGTACTTGAAGCGAAACTGAGCACAACGCATGTTTTACTTTAAAAATCCCATTAAGGTAGGTCAGCAGCAATTTTATATTTATATCTATTAGTATAATTAGTATATTCCTTCAATTCTGATTTGGAGTCGGCCTATTATAACTCCAGTATAATGGAGTTATTTGAAATAATTCTATTATAGTTTATTGTAAATAGCGACAGCTGTTTCTAACATGAACTTTAAACAGGTTGCGTCAGTTTATTATTTAAGTTTTGTAAAAATAATTAATTCACATCACAAAATAAAGTAAAAACAAGTCAAAACATGTCTTCTTTTAAATCTAATGTGAATTTGATTTATTGCATGGTGTATGACGTAACAGCAATATCATTTATTTGTGTGGTATTATCTGGAGTGCTTAAAGTTATTTGTTTTTAATCTGATTATGTAATGGAGATTACATGTTTTCCTCTATCACCCAAACATGGATATTTGAAAACCAATACTTCTCTATGGGGGTGGGGGGGGTTCAGTAATATATCTCAAAGGTGGAAACTTGCTCATTTACAGGCCTTAATATTTGTCACAAGAATCTGCAGTTTAAGTACCAAAGGTGTGTTTAAAAAGAAAGAAAAATGCCTGCAGTGCTGTAAACATGTCGCCACCAGAGGCTGCAATACTCAAGCATTAGATGTTTATGATCTGAGCCCGCCTTGCAAACTATTCATGAAATTACATCCTTAATGCATACATGTTATGGAGAATTTATTTTATTATTATTTTTTTCAACAGACTGATAAATCTTTCAAATAGAAAATAAATATATATATTGTTTAAAGTCGTTTTTTTGTCTCTACAAAAACTATGAAAAGTTTCTTATTTATTTAATCAGTTAGATCTGAATAAAATCCAAGGCTACCAACACCTCCAGGACAGTGTGTTCAGTTTTATCTCAGTATAATTCATGCTGTTGAATGAAAGCCTCTGAGTTTTGTCAGGGATATTAACAATAAACACCGCAGTGAAGTCAGGGATACAGTTGTTGGGGCGTTTCAAGTGGGGTTTAGGTTAAAAAAGAAAACTTTAGACTCTGAGCATCTCATGCAACTCTTTTTAATTCTTCATATAGAGATAAAAAGCCTGCGGCTCAACTGGAAACCCTATGAGACTTGGTTGTCCAGGTGAGCAGACAGGCCAGGAAATGGGGAGTATTGGATCAGTTCAGAAGAAAAAAAAAAACTTTGAAGTATTAGGATGACTTAGCCAATGCTCAGCCTAAATTCTAACTGAAAATCTGTATCAAACCTTTAAAATGATTACAAGAGATGTCAAATAATTAAATTTTTCTATTTTCAATTGTAAAAATGCTTAAAGCCACATCTCTACCTGCAGAGCCAACCTGCGCATTTTTAGTTACTCACTATGTGTATAATATTAACTGACAAGTTATTCTCCACAGCCCACATTTTGGGTTGCATTAAATTGCTTAATCAGACAGTTGGAATAATGGTTTTGTCAAACTCTAGTCTTTAAGTTTTGTTTTCCTGCAGCTTGAAGATGTATCCCTGAATCAAAATGTGGAACGGTCCCTTCAGCATCAATACAGAGCTTTGCTAGAGACCAAGAAGCATATATATGTATATAAAAGGTACAGGGCAGCGGCCTGCAGGAAGCTTTTTGTGATCCTTTCTTTATATGAATCTGAGGAGATCAGGCTGTTGTTATCGTCATTCATTTCAGCAGGGTTTTATTCATCTGTGTTGTGCAACCGTTAAGCTAATTTTTCATTAAAAATGTAAAAAGCCTTAATCTTCAGAGGCATTAATACAAACTTCATTTCCTGAGTATAAGCTGGAGCAGAATTTCATATCCTTTCTACATTGTTTTTTTATTGCCCCCTAAGGAGAAGGTTACAATATTCCACTGTTACTTCTTTTTCCAACATGACTCCAAATGGAAGCAAACTCCAAACTTTACATGCTAAGTGGTTGCAAGATGTAGAAAATTCTGAGTTTTATTAAACAGAAGGGAAAAAGAAATGCATGTTTTCATTTTAGAGCCTTTCAGTTACTCCTCACCTGTTTCTGTATAGCTCTCCACAAGTTTCAGCGGACTACAAAACCAACACCCTACTGTTTAGAAAAAAGCTCGTTACGTTCACACATTGTGCCTCTTTGAATGAGTAAGAAAATCTCTTTACCTTATTGTTCACTTGGCATTTGTTTGTAAAGGTGGAAATTTACATTTTATGCTGAAGGCAGGGGGGGATTTACCATTAGGCAATAGTAGACAGGTGCCTAGGGCCCCAATTTCCTGGGGATGGGGGGGATAAACTAGTTTTACATGTATGGTTAATACAACTATCCTTTATTTGTGCACATTAATTATGTTTTTGATAAAAAAAATCCTTCCACTAAAATGCCATCAGAACGCTTATAACATTAAGTGTGTCTCAGCCCCCCCTTTAGTGTCCACCATATTGGATCAGTCCATACAGACAGCAGCAAACCATTTGAAAACAAAGGATGCGGAGAACTTAGCTCTTTAGTCGCTATATTTAGCAACTTTTCAGACCCGTCTAGTACTTTTATTTCAAAAAATTACCTAGCGCCAAATCTAGTGACTTTTTTCTGCCTCTGGAGACTTTGGAGAGAACATACAAAATCATACAACTCTGCTCTCCAGAGCAAGTACCGTATTTTCACGACCATAAGGCGCACCGTACTAAAAGGCGCACTCTCAGTTATGTGTCC